CTACTATGTCCCTTCATAGGATCATAATGCTTTTCTAAATTCTAGCTACCACCTAGCGAGTTTGTGTACATAGAGGCTGAATGCCCGAAGATCGACAACATTCACATCTGCGAGCAGCATATTGGACATCAAATTCGTTCCGATCCTGACTGTACAGATAAACTATATAGATGAAACGTGCAAAATCACGCCTATCTATCTGAACAAGGAGGCCCTGACGGATCTATAATCTACAGGTTAATGCTATAATCATATAATCTCCAGGATGAAAGCAAAAACGTCAGTTAATAGAAGATAAAATATGAATGTATTAGAATTTATTACATTTGCGCTCCCTGAAGCTAGCCCCATAAATATTTTTGTTAAACATCGTTAACATTTCTGTTAAAATAATATTTGACAGGCGTAATACTGAAAGTTTGCCGATAGCTTATGCATTTTCGATATACATAATTTAATTTAAAGTACATACTACAAAGGTTTCTAGTATACATATTATACATACAGTGTAGGTATGTATTGTATATACTACTTTTATTAGACTTTTTTTACGTTCACAGCGTGTGGAAAAGATCCAGCGCATCTTCACCTCGGCAACTCGCTTTTTTCGGCAAAATCTCCCATAGACAGCCGTATCACAAAAGGTTAAAATATTATGTGTATAGCTGACCTGTCTTTTCTCGACAAGGTGCTTATAAAAAAAAATTGCTGCTTAATACTTGAACATGTAAGTATTTAAGTTCAGTTCCCTATAAATATTCTATATCTCGTATTAATAAACTATTTAACAATCCCTCGCCCAATCCTTTACTTGTAGGTGCCGTCATCTACAAACCCCTACCGCTAGGTTCGTTCCGTCGCAAATGGCGCAGACCACGACACGTACTCGTTTTCCCTGACGATGAGACGACTATCGCAATCGACAAGATAAAACAATTACGCACACACACCAGATCACACCGCACTCACCGGCGAGTGCGGCATACAAGGTTCCGCCACGTACCTGGCAGGTTTTCCCCCGGTAACATTGGCGTATCTAGGGTTGATTTTCAGGGTGGGCCTGTGCCCTACTACAAAAAATCACAGGTCGTCGTCAATCGTCATATTAAAAAAAAACCACAGTTCTTTATCGTCAATCATACTTATTCATTTAAAAGAATAGTTATGAGTGAATTAACTAATTAATAATATTCTTATAAACTAACACTGTAGAAACATTTAAAACTTTTTTTGGCGTAACTTATTCCTTAAAAATCCAAATCATTTATTCATCGACATAAGAATCATTTCAACTGTCGATAGTATTTTTTTCTTTTTTATCTACCACCCTTTCGTAATGAGGTTTCTCCAACGGGGAAGAAACAGGCGAAAGAAACTCCGTAGGTATCCTCCTTTTTGTCATTTTTCTTTTAGAAATATCTCGGGAGCGATCAACTCATTCCAAGGGGTTATAGTCACTAATGTAATCATTTTTTTAATAAATAAAGACCTGTTGATAGGCAGGCGCATTTACTGGAATTTTGTTGTAGAAGCTTATACACCGCCCCATGAACGAGTTATTCTGTGCGAGTCTAGTAACTGGCGTTATAAGCTTGTGTTTGTTCCTAGTACATTATGTACATCAGTATTCTTATTAAAATTATTAATATTTCTGCGTAAATACATTATATATATATACAGCGTGTCGTTACCATCGCGACAATAAATGAACACGCGTCTAACGTACTTGCCAATAATCATAAAAAAATAGTAACGTAAAAAAAATCCATAATTAAAAAAAAAATTTCAAGCAAACTAGTTAAGTAAAAAGGAAACAAAATTTGTAACATCCTATACAACTCGCGCCACAGCGTCGTATTACAAGCCTCTCCTTCTAACAGTATGTTTTGCCTCTTTTAAATTCATTCAACCCATTCATATGCTTTGTGACCTTTACAAATGAACTTTACGTTACGCTTTTATAGGTAAGGTGTTCTAAAATTCTTTGTTTTGGAAAATTTAATAACTCTGTAAATATTGATGTTTAAAGAATTGAAATGTTTAATACAACTTTAAAAAGTTATCCCCTATATGTGTGTTCATTTATTGTCGCGATGGTAACGACACGCTGTATATATATATATATATATATGGACCGTTTATTTTGAAAGTGGTGTAAGTCCATTTTCTTTTGTTTCGAGAAAATTAAAGGTTACTATATTTGTTGATTTAAAAATACAGGCAAATCATATGAGGTCTGGCATTGTTTCTATTTTTTTATCAACATTTAATTTGTTTATATAAATTTGTTTTTGGCTAATTAGACTACGATAACACATATTTATGTGCTGTAAATGGACTTACACCACTTTCAAAGTTAGACAATTGTAAAAATCGTTTAATTTCAATTATGAAAAATCAAATATCGCTTAAAAAATACTTCATTTGAATATAATTTTGTTTACAAATACGCATAACAACACAGTCCTGCATTTGGTAGTGTTTCAAAATATGCATGATGCACCGGAGGTATATAGGGTAGTAGCTGCTTCATGTCTTTATATTTTTCGTACGTAATAGGTCTGGCATTTTGGTACAAAGGCTCCAGGGCGATTTTTTCAGGTTGGTCTTCCAGAATGTAGAGGTAATAAATTAATAATTTTAAATTCTGCGTCCGTCATCGTTGTTTTATAAAAAATGGTATATGGTGCAATTTTGAGGAACCTCAACCAACATATTTGCAACCAATTGACCTGTTCCCCGTTAAAATTTTTTTTTATCTGTTTTTTAATTGCATTTTGGAGATTTTTTGTTGAAATGAAATTCTCCCGTTTCATTTCATATAAAATGAATTTTTCCTGTTTTATACATTGCGCTATTACATTATAGTAATCTTGTGGTGTGTACACAAAATTCATTTTTCTCAATGCCATTTCTATAATGCCAAAATCTGCATCGTTCGGAAGGTATGAATGCCCCGAGAGTAAAAATTTGTGGTCAATTATCTCAATGCTGTTTTCCGACTGGACAACCTTCAACCACATCAATGCCATTTGTAAATTTAGATTTTGCCCAGTACACATGTCACTGTAGGCAATAACATGGCTTTGGATCGTTACATTTTCTAAGTGCTTCAAACAGCATGAAGCCACCTCTTGCGATCCCCCAGAAGCAATGGTTTCGTCCCACACCTAGATATTAACTTTATTATTATGTAAATTGTGAAAACCCTCGTTTAAGACGTACATATTTCGTTTGTAATATGCGATTGAGACAGACAATTTCGGGTATGGTAAGGCTTTTTGTAAATCAAAAGTGAAAGATTTTCTAATACTAGAATTTTATCCTCTTGTAATGCTTTTCTTGATAATTCAGCATTGTGCAAGTGAACGTCATGTCTTTCTACAAGAATCATTTTTTTTTTTTGGGTAAAGTTATCGCCAAAAGTACGTAATAGATTGGTTTCAAAATTAATACACAGCTAGAGTATGAATTGGAATAGTACATAGGCTACATTTTATTTAAAAATTCAACTCCTAAATAATATAAAATTAGAAAAATCGTAATTAGATTGCGGATTTTTCTGCAAAAAGATGGCGCTACTGGTGTTTTTGTGGTTTTTTTTTAATTCGCCAAAATACGGGCAAAGATACGGAGTCATACAGCCTTGTCGTATTTATTTTCTTTTCACAGGTTATGCGCTATACATTTTGTAATACATTTATCTATTTTTTTTATATCTATCTTTTAACTTACGAGTAGTGGAAACACGGGGGGGAAACAATGCAAATCGTCCGCGGGTGAAACCGCGGGACACAGCTAGTATAAAATAAATGAAAAATAACAAAACACTGATCGGCATCCATCTGCTATGCCACCTACCTCTGTCAATTGGACACACCATTTTCATAATCGATGATTATGCAATTTCATTTACCGACCGATTTTAAGTTGTACAAAACGCGGACTAGTTATATATAAAAAAATTACATTACATTAAGCATGAATTACGTGATAGCTCATTTTTCTCAAAAATGGACTTACACCACTTTCAAAATAAACGGTCCATATGTATATTTTGACGGGCCAAGGTTAATATATTTACTTCTTTAAACGACTCTTTGAAAAGAGATGCGATGCCTTACTTCTATATGATGAAGAGTAGTGCTTGAGAACCTGCCTTCTCCCATAGCCACGTCTTAATTCTCTGCCATGCCCCTCGGCATAGCTCCCCTGGCATCCGTCTGAGATACAAGCGGAGCTATGCCGAGGGACAGTTAGTCAGTTAGTTACTGGGATCGCATTTGCAGTTCAAATATTTTTTTTTTACTTTTTTATAATTAAGAATTCTGTTTCTGAATATCTTGGATATTCTTGAGAAGGGCATGATTATCAGGGTGTGAAAAATGGATGCTTCCAGATTATTAAAAAAACTTGCTTATTAGTGACACATTAGCGCATGAGTTCACAAAAGCTAAATTAAGCTTATGCGCCAATCCACGTACAATTAAATGGGGCACATGGGGGCATGGCACATTTGTTTAAAAAATCTAAAATTATCTTTGCGTCTCTGCCAGTAGAGCAATCCATAAATCCCATGAACGTCTCTTCAACTTCTAATACGTCTCAAAACTATAGATATTTTTTCTTCTCTATAACGTCTTGCTTCATCTGCATCGTATAATTTTGTTCACGATGCGTTCTATTGTGATAATGAATCAGAATATGTTGACTAAATCGTTTTATATACCAGCACTGCAATAAGTTACTTGTTTTTAAAAATGCCTGGAAAATTTTCCATTGTATTCAGCGAAAAGTTGATGTCTGAAAAGTTTCTCTAATTTTTGGGTCAGATGTTTCACGGTGACTTGACGGCAATCCTTGACATACTAGATATAGTACTGATGCCTATTATTTTTATTAGATTTTCTTTATTTTGCTCAACTTCCTTTTCATGTTAGCTGACGATTTATTCATGGAAATTTGATTCTTGATGTAAAGGCGTCTGATAAATTATCTTACTTTGGTGGTGTGCAGACTGGATGTGTTTTAGAAATTTCGAATGGGTAACCCAAACTCCTGGGGTGGGCACTAGACGATACTGGGGTGGGCACGGCCCACCCAGCCCCCCCGCTATATACGCCTATGCCAGTTAATGATAGAAGCGTTGCTGGAGTTTCTTCCGGCACTTCTTCTCCCAGCGCCAACGCTTTCCGAAGTGGACCTGCATAGATCATTAAAACGTCTTCGGCATTCGCGGCCTGACGCTTTAGCAACTAAGCTAAACGGCTGATTGCTACACCGACGAAAATCTTAACGTCTTTTATCTGCATTGTTATTTGGCGTTATATCCTTTCCAGCATATAAACAATTCGCATATAATCGAATATCGTTTTACAACGATAACTTCAAACGAGAGATGCCGCCATTGCTTTTAAGAAATTTGACTGCATCAAAGCAGAGCTGCTAATTTCTAGGATTTCTTTTTGTAATGTTTTTAAAGAGACATTTTTGGGCTCTACCCTGATATAAATTTGAATTATAGTATATACAGCGTGTAGTTACAATCGCGACAATAAATGAACACACATATAGAGGATAACTTTTTAAAATTTAAAGAGATAAAACATACTGTTAGAAGGAGAGACTTGTAATGCTACGTTTTGGCAACGAATGAAAAACTCTCTGAATGTATGAATCAGTCAGTTGTAGTTGTATAGTGTTACAAATTTTGTTTCTTTTTTATTTAATTACTTTGTAAAATATATTTTTTTAATTATGGATTTTTTTAACGTTTTATATTTTAAATGAAACTAAACGCGTAAATACAAGAAAAAAAAACGTTTTATATTTTTCTATGATTATTGGCAAGTAGCGTTAGACTTTATTTATTGTCGCGATGCTAACGACATCCTGTATATTAGTTAAATAAATAATAAAACCAATTTTTTCAAATCAATTTATTGCAAATATCAACACTTATTGAATTTAAATTAAGTCAAGTAGGTGTAGTTATTATACCCCTGCTTCTTTACTATTAAAAAAATTTCTACTGCTATGTAATAAATTGATTTTTTTTGTTAATTTCATTACTCACTCAATAATAAAATCTGTTAACTAGTAAACTAAAATAAAATTTTTATTTTATGTGAAAATTGTGTTTTACATTTGATTTTTAGTGCCCTTCAGCGCCCTGGCGCCAAGCGCGACTCGCTCTACTTGCTCTACCCTTAAACCAGCACTGATTATACATAACACAGATGTAAGACAATATCATGAAAACTCTATGCACAAACAAAAATCATGTAAAATGATAAAAGTGGTTTATCAAAAAACAAACAATTTTAGAAACTACTTTCAACAAAACGTACACATTTTACCTCAATGCTCCTTTTGAGATATGCTCATTCCCCAAAATACTTATATTAAAAAGTGTCTGTTGAGAAGTTAATGAATAGTGAACTGCATTTTTTCTGTCCAGTCCATATTCTGCAACAGAACCTATGATTAAATCTAAATGATTATGCTATGATTCCCACATATTAAGAAGCAAGCCTAGTGGTGACAGGCACATGCTACTGGGAATTTTCAGATCAAAATACAAGAAATTTTGCCCAACCTGGGAATCAAGGCTAGGATCTTACTATATTATGCGTATGCCTTGACCCACAAAGGCAGTAATGTATAATAATTTGAAAATTTCAAAATGCAGCAATTTTGTTAGGTATTATAATAACAAATTGCAATATACAGTTGCTATAAATAATGCAGAAACCATGTTCAAGCTAACAGAATGGCGAGCGGTAATGTGTGTAAAACTATACTAATGCTAATGATACAAACCAGTTGGAGCCAAAATCAAATATCTTTATTCAACATGGGAGCATTACACTCACTTATTGATAGTCAAAATACTACCACCCGTTCAGAAAAGAAAGCCACTATACTCAGAAGAACCAGCGAAAGAAACTCAGCAGGCTATTCTTTTTCTCATTTTTGACATACACGGAAACATCCATGAATATATTAAATACAATATAAAAACTCCTATTGAACTCTTGTCATTTTTATCACTGACTGACCTATTATTAGAGACATGTTATAAAACATAGCTTTTACCAATTTGTACAACTATAACTCAATAACTCAATAATTGGGGAAACAAAAATACTTAGCTTTTCCAACAGTTTATTGGAGACAAGTTATAAAATACAGCTTTCACCGACTTATGCAACTATAACTCAACAATGAATCAATAATTAGATAACAATAGCACTTAGTTTTTCCAATAGAGCAACAGCCCTTAACTAATAACCAAAAACTAACCCCGCATATGTTGTGAGAGTTGAATTTATACCCCTCAAAAACCAATACCAACTACCACCCCTTTCTAAGGTGTAGGAAATATCACAATGCAATAGGTATCAGACCAACAACTTTTAAATAAGTCGCAACAAACTGTACTAATAAATTATTGATAAATTATTAATAAGATTAAATATGTGCCATAATTATAACACTATAGAACAAAACTCTAACCCATTTCCAGATGACCTAGACAGTTCAAATTTGGCATCCAGATAGGTTAGTACAAAGTAATTAATCAGAAACTAGAAAATTCTTATTATTTTATTATAATTTTTCAATTAATTGAATTTATTAGGAACGCTAAGTAAGAATCAGCAATCAAAATTAATGACAGGTGGTCTCATTATTAGATCTCAACATTATTTAGATCCAAGTCAATACCAACCAGGCACAGGAGAGCTTTATTGTAGATTATAATTGCCTAAGCATGTTATACTGCCTCAACTTGGCCAAATTAAGTAAAAAACAGTCCCATGACTGTTTTAGAAGGTTAGACTTAATAATAGTTACCAGCCCTATGTTCAATGGCTAGTTTTCACCAGCAAGACAAAATAATTTTCAGAAGAATAAAATAAGAACTAACAGCAATAGAACTTGCAAAGGCTATAATATAATTTGTATATTATGAAAACTAGCCTAATCAGACCTTAGGCTTTAATATATTTTTTAATGTTCATAGTCATAATAAGTTTAGGGTAATTTTATTGTATTAACACAAATAAGAAACTTGTTTCATTACAAAAATTATAATAATTTTTTTTACAAAAATAATGTTAACCCTTTAAGATCAAAAACATTCAGGCCTGCCTTTTATCTCGTTAATAAGTCCTCGTACAACCAGTGGTAGAGTAAATCTGTCGAAATTGCCACCGCAACAAATATACACAGGCTGCTTGAGTGCTAACGCCAACTGACGTGCCAGAGGCGCTGCTCCGACCTCTTCTCCAAGAAGCGAACTACTTAAAGCATCGCGCCCTTCTGTCTGGGCTGGCATTCCAATCGCTATCTCACCTAATTCTCTTTGGCCAGCGGTTCCAACCCACAAAAAAACAGAACCATCCATTTTTACTACAGAAACACGGCACAATATTTCTCCGCTCCATACTTCGAAGTTGTGAAGGCTCCACGAACTTTTTCTATACACAATACGTCGTCTAGATGTAACAATTAATGGTGAATCTCTCTCGATCATGATAAAATCGAAGTTAATAATATTTGAAAATGCTAAAAGTGCAAAAAGTCATTAGCATTACCCGGTCATGGTCAGGTAATACGTTATTTTATTATTTATTACTTTTTACCACAAACTACCTAGATGATTAGATGATTGTTATTTGTATTTATTTACTATAGTTGGTACTAACTAATTAGTATGTCAAACTCAATTGTCAAGTTCAAGTTATCAAGACCAGCCAGCGTGACCACACCAGCTATTGCCAGCTATTTTCAGATGTTGATAGACTCAAGACTATTATAAGACTATACTTGACTATAGAGCAGCAAAAATTTACTCAATTCTACTAACTTATAACCATTTTCTACACAATTTCTACTAAAACAAAAAGAGGTATTAAAGGGGTATTCTTTTTTGTTGTCTAAATTAAATATCTTGAGTAATTAAATAATAAAAAATATGTATCAAAACATTAATTTTATTCTGTATTATTGGGGATATTTAGTTGTTTCCTCGTCTGGTTGGGTTTATAAATAAAATAAACATATGGATATATATTGCATATATAACATAAACGTTATGAATAAAAATATAATATTTATGTTATATATGCAATATAATGAAATTAAACACTAAGACACAAAGTCAATTATAAAATAAATTTTATAATTGACTTTGTGTCCTAATGTTATCTTACTAAATACTCGAGTGATGGGAGTTACGCGAGATATTACATACTAGTACTACGTCTTATTGGCTACAGGCTTAATGTGCGGTTTTGAGCTGTGAGGGCAGAAGTTTTTTTTTTTTTTTGGGTGGTAGTCTAAGTGACAATTTAACATGATCACTTTATTTATTTATTTAAAATTTTATTGTTTACACCTCAACTTAAGGCTAAACAAACGGCAAACTTAATGCTAATAAGCATTCTCTTCCAGTCAACCCTGGGAGTGGAGAAAGTTTGACGCAGGTGCAAAACAAAATTCGCGAAATAAATAAAATAAAACAAAAAAAGCAAAGGTACATTTTATAGAAATATACTTTACTCAAACATAAATACTTTACATGTAATTATTAAATACATATAAATTCCAATACAAAAACATTATATAATATATAGGTATATATATACATATGTAATACATGTATAATAATATATATACAGAGACATAAATAAAAACGAAGGATAAAGTTGGTGACTCTAACAATCGGCAAAATTGGCGTAGTGACATCGCAGCATTTTCTTAAATGATGATTGCTTGGTGCGTTTCTGATGAACTGAGGCAAGGAGTTCCAGAGTAGTATAGCCTGAATAGTAAAAGACTTATGGAAGAAGCCGGAATGATGCGTCGGAGTACAGAGTATTCTACTAGCTGAAGAACGAAGTGCTTTATCGTGAGTTAATAAGAGATATTGGAATTTTTCCTTTAAGTAGTTAGGAGAAGCAGGAACATTAAGAATAGAGAAGAGAATAAGAACAATTTTTAGAACTACATAAGTCTTTGACGAATAGTAAGCCATTTAAGCTGGGAACGATATTGAGATATGTGATCAAATTTACGTAAGCCGAAAATTTACCTAATACAGTTATTATAGAGACGCTCCAGCTTATTAAGGAGATCTTGGTTTAGATCCGAGCAACAGACATCTGCATAATCCAAAATGGGTAAAATAATGGAATTAACCAGAATAAGTTTAGTTTTGAAAGGAAGAAAGTGTTTTAAACTATACAGAAAACTATACATTAAAACTATACAAAAAGGTAGCAATGACCTTGCAACTGATCTCCATGATGTGGACATTCCAGCTCAGAGAATTATCCATGTAAAGGCCGAGATTTTTCACCAGCCGTCAAAAGGTGTTTCTTTTGTCTTCTTTACTTTATATTTCATTCTTTACTTTACTCTTTTTAACGGATATTAATTTTATAGTACTATTATTTGCATATAAGATTCAATTAAAAAATTTGTAGAAAAATGGACTATAAGTTTTTCGCTTCTAAGAGGATTTGAACCTGCGTCCTCCGAGATACATGTCTGATATGCCACTGAGCTAAAGGCTTATTTTCAACCGTCGAAAAACTCAACGTGTTTTATCTACTTTGTTCTTTATTACATTTATAAGTAATTTTTACGTCAACTAGTCCGTCTTTTTTACAACAAACAACCACTTTTTCATATAACATTTTATAATTATAATATTATTAATATTAATAAACTAGGAAGGACACCTTTGCTACTATTATTTTTTTCTTTAAATTCTTTTTTAGCGCTGTTAAAATAAATATCCTTCAAATATTTTGTAAATGAAGCCATTATGCCAGAATTTATTGAAAAAGGTGGGCAGGGAGTGTTTTAGTCATTTGGTCAAGTCAGGGCCAGGTAACATGACGTAGATAAGCGATTCAAAAGCGGGTACACGCGGATCCGTTACGATAATGGAACATGAAAATGGGAACATCCCATTTATCACGTTGGCCAACTAGTCGTGATTGATGTTTATTTGAAATTGAATGCGGTGTGTTTCACGCTAAGTGGTGTTCATTATCAGTAAAAAATTGGTATTTAATATTGTAACTTTGTGCTTTAAAATCATGTGTGATAATGATTTATAGTTTATTTTGAAATAGAATATTCACTAGAAACTTAAAAGTAACATTTGCATTATTATTATAGTTAAAATTTAAAACATTGTCATTATATAATCACATTCAGCTTGTAATTCTAAACTTGAATCTATAGCTATGGTGAGCAGATTTTTAATAGTGTATTTTTTTTACATAAATAAATGAAAATACAAAGCAGTTTCTGTCTAATAAAGAAAATATGCTGCAAAAAGTTTTAAAAGTAAAGGCAGTAATAACACTAGTAACACTTAGTAAGTAAGCGGTCAGAGCCAATAGGAAAGAGACATATGTATAACTTTTTCATGCTATTTGACAATTTTCTGTCGTGGCTATCTATAATTGGTTATATTTGATACTTGACATAATATTGTCCAATAGTATTTTAACCGGTATGTGTTCAAATTTATATGATTTGAAACTGTACAACCATCGCTAAAATATTTCTACTCTACGTTATAACGTTACTCAGAAAACAACGTTGGCAGTACAAGGATCGTCGGCTTTTGCCGGCTTCTTAAGTTTTAAAATAAAAACAGTTTTTAAATAAGATTGAGACATTTTAAAGCTATGAAGTACTTTTTATTGCTGTCGTTGGGAATCCTCCTTTTAACAGGTAAGCTCGAACTCCGTCCATTTCATTGTTGTTCAAACTTAACTTTTATGATTAAAATTGCTAATCAAACCACAAAAATATGAATAATATTAAATTAGTAAATAAATCTACTGTTTGCGACGATTAGTTGTATTGAAGTCAAGAACTTTCCATTCAATGTTCGGGTTTAAGTTTCTCTCACCAGTATTAAAAAATAATTTTATTAGACTTGTGTCGGTTAGGAGAATTTTTTGAGACAATTTATGTTTCAGGATGGTCCCATGCTCAAGACGAAGGCATTGGGGTCGGTACTGTTGAAGAAGTAACTGTAGACGCTGATCTCGGCGCGTCCCGTGAAGGTTCTCGAACAGGTCAGTTAATCAACTATTTGTCATTTCAGCACAATTCGGTAAAAAAATGCATGTACTTTTATAATAGGACTTATACCACAGCTTGTCAAATATTAAATTCAGAAAAAGTTCTAAAATCAATCATGTAGTGTACAATAAATCTGTCCATTTTTTTTGCAAAATCACAATGGCTAATACGAGTAAAAGATTGTAGATCAAACATCAGCAACACATTAGATTTAAGAAAATATTTCTCTCACCAGAATTATAGTCATATTGGTATAAGATGATTTGATTTTTTTTATAAAATTTTGAATAAGCTGTTATGGTCACTTGGTAGAATACCATAATTTATCAAAATTTATCATATTCGTATTATAAAAGAGAGGAAATTTTCAGTATTGCATTATATATTGAAAATTTATATATTTTTTTTTTATGCGATATATGTAGATTATATTTTTTTTTAACATATGCCCTTTTTAATACCTCTAAGAATATGTGAACAAAGTTTCATGATAATCGGTTGAGTAGTTTTGGCATGAAATAGTAACAAACGAACATACATTCACATTTATTGTATGTAGGGACACATTATAAGTAGGGAGGTGTGTTGACTTCTTTTATCATGCCATAAATTTATTACAACTTTATTTATTAAGTATGTTTAATCACCTCTGTCATCCAGAACACAACATACAGTTGTGCACTTTCATAATCTTTACATATACACACAAGTTCATTCTTAATTTGCTTTAAACATGTTCATTTAGGGCATCCTCTACTTTTTCCACTTAACTTCTATCTCGAAAATTATATTTTCACTTTCAATTAAATTATCTCTGTCCACATTTACAGTATTCATTTGATTTGATTTCATAATTTTCCCTTATTCTCATCTTTTATGTCCATACATAACATCAGACCAACACAGCATTGTGGATAGACAGACATGCCTATTCTACAACACATTCTCTCTTTTCATAATGCCTTTGTTCACTCTGCATGCATATTCTTGTCTTTTTTCCAAGGCCATGTCATATCTTATCAATTTTATAATATTATCATAAAATAGATAAATTGTAATGATCAAAAAATAGCAAGGGAAAATATGAATTTTCAAGTTTTCACTTATTGAGCCTTAGTTTTGTGTTCCACATTCCCTACTGATTAGGTAGCTTTTCAAATTTGAGAGTGTATACATAAATATGTTAGGGTATAAGTGACATAATGATAATAATTTATTTACCTTAAATTACTAACAATTATTGATCCATCAAATAGCGAAAAATAGCAAAGGTGGCAGGCAAGTCGGTGGTTCACCTTGATGTTAAGTGATAACTGCTGCCCATGGACATTTGCAACACCCATAGTTTTTAATAAAGTTGGCTCCGACTACCTCACCCACCATAGGATTGTGTGAAGAGTTAAAATGATATCTGAATACAATGATTAGGAGTTGGATTTAAGTTTTATGTCAATGTAAGTTAATGTTTTGAAACAGCTAAACGAAAAACAGCATGAAGTATAAAAGGAATAGATTGGTGTCTGTCCAATTTCCGTGTATTCGGCATGATGGCTTTCTATCGCCGTTTAAAAGCGGCGTCTGGAGCCAGCAGACGAAGGCGAGCGCGCAACCATGCCGAGTCGCGAATGTGATGCCGCGTTCGCACGCGCTCGCTGTCAGTGCCCGCCATCGCCATCGCCCCCGCCCCCGCCCCCGCCCCCGCCCCGGCCCCGCTCCACCATCCGTACCTGCGAAGTCATAAGCGCCCCGTTGACGGCGACAGGCGACACGAGTAGCGGATGGAACAAAGCGAGAGTCGAGTACGCACTCGTGCGCCGTGGTGACGGGGCGCGGGTGAGCCTCGCGCGGGCCCTTGGCGAAGCGCTCGCGCACGAGCCGCAGCGCGCGCTCCGCCGCGCCCGCCCCTCCCTCGCCCTCCGCCCCCGGGCGCGTGTAGAACTTGTCCGTCACCGGCGCCGCTGCGTTTTCGCACCACGTCGCCGTTTAGCGATATAGTAAATGGACCTTCAACACCTTGTGCAAGGCGAATCGATCATGGTGTTTTTTCTCTTAGAGAAAACGGAAAACTAGTCGGTGATCGTATTCTTTTGTCTTGTGTTCATTTTCAACAGACTTCATAATAGGAGGTGGTTCTCAATTCGGTTGTATTTTTGAAGTTGTACTTCTTCTAAAAGGACACCAAATTCATTCAGTTTCAATTCAACCAATAACAACTTTTTGAATTCATGTATGTAATTGATTTAGTAAACCGTTATCAATTGCATTTAATGTTTTTTTTTTTTTTTTTCACAAGAAAGTGTAAACGAGTACTACCACACGGGATAAATTTTTTAGTTATTTTTTTGTCACGCTAAAAAAGTTTAACTTCTTCCGTGCGTCCATTAATACGTAAGTAGTTTATATTTTTTGAACTTCATCATTATACTACTCTTTGCATTGGGTTGAATTTAGCTCATATATAACCCAATATTAATTTTAGTCATGGGATCTTGGACTTCGGAGATACATCAGGGAACTCCTCAAAATTAAATAGAAATACATTTTCTATTTAGTTTTGTTGTTAGTGATTAGTATTTTAAGTGTTTTTTTCTTTTTTGTTAATAAAAATGTTTCTCCTGACGTATTGCTATGGCAATTTGCAAAGGTATATAAATAAGAGAAGTAAATCAGCGTCGTACTGCACGAGAGTAATTTACCGCGTTGACCTTTTTCAAAAACAAAAAATTCAAAAACGTATGACTCACCTAAAAACTCAAAACAATATCTATGTAGGTATTAAGGATAAAATAAATTCACGTACGTAAAGCCAAGGGTCTAATGGCAGACAGATTGGACCGACCCGGCTCGCGTTTTGCAGCAAAACGTAGTTTAAAAGAGCGCGCAGGCACGACGGCCGAAGCTCCACGCTGAGGCGCCTTCGCCTCACCTCCGGCCGGGCTCTCCGTTGCCCTCGCGGCGGTCTCTCCGGTCGACCCCATCTCACTCGCCGGGCGTGGAGTTATCGATGTCGCGATATCGCGTTGCCATGGCGACCGCTTGCCGCAGATGCGGAGGCGGTGTCGCGCGAGGAGGAGGCCATCTCGCCGGACGGCCTGAGCGTGGCGCAGATGCGGGAGATGCGCGAGCGCGCCAAGAGCTACACCTTCCAGACGGAGGTCAACCGCATGATGAAGCTCATCATCAACTCGCTCTACAGGAACAAGGAGGTGGCTTTATTACCTATTACAATTGTGTGAACTTATTACGCGACAATACATAATTATGTATATCTTCTGCAGATATTCTTGCGTGAATTGATCTCGAACGGATCGGACGCGTTGGATAAAATCCGTCTGCTGTCGCTGACCGACCGGGACGTTTTGGAGACCAATCCGGACCTCAGCATCAGAATCAAGGCGGAGCCGGAGAAGCGGCTGCTGCACATCATCGACTCCGGCGTGGGCATGACGAGTCATGAGCTGGTCAACAACCTGGGCACCATTGCTAAGTCCGGCACCGCCGACTTCCTCTCGAAAATGCAGGACACCGAAAAGGTAGGACGAGGAAAACTCGTTTTCAACTATTCAAAGTTGTAAAAAGCATCTTAACTGTATTACGACGTATGGACAGTCCATGACAAGGACACCACACTAGAAGTTTTATTGTAATTTGTTTTATTTTGTATTAATTTTTTACCTTTAATTTCACTGTAATCGGTATTTCCTTTTTATTTTCAAATTTTTTCTTTTTATGCACTTCTAATTGACATAAATATCAAAATCATTGCTACAACGTTCTATACGTGTGGTGTCGTGTGTACGTGGTATATTTTTATAAATTTATAAATAGTAAAGCGAGAGACAATGAAAGGGTCGTGTTTCGGCAGTCGAACGCGCAAGAGATGAACGACATGATCGGGCAGTTCGGCGTGGGCTTCTACTCTGCCTTTCTGGTGGCCGACTCGGTGACCGTGGCCTCCAAGCACAACAACGACTCGCAGCACCTCTGGGAGTCCGACGCCAGCTCCTTCCGCGTGGCGCCCGACCCGCGCGGCGACACGCTCAAGCGCGGCACGCACATCACGTGAGTGCCTCACCCGCCCCCACCCGCCCGCCACACCCGCCCCCACCCGCTCACCACCCGCTCACCACCCGCTCGACACCCGCAGGCTGCACATGAAGGAGGAGGCGGCCGACTACCTGCAAGCGGATACGATCCGCGCGCTGGTCAAGAAGTACTCGCAGTTCATCAACTTCCCCATCTACTTGTGGGCCTCGCGCACCGAGACCGTCACCGAGCCCGAGGACGACGAGGAGAAGCCCGACGCCGACGCCGAAGAGGTCGAGGACGACGACGCCCAGGTACGCATTCGTGGCAATTTTAAAACGAAACTGATTGACCGATCTCGTAATTCTCATCAAATCGAATCACCAAAGGTGGAGGATGCCACCGAGGAGAAGAGCGAACCGAAGAAGACGGAGAAAACCGTGTGGGACTGGGAGTTGATGAACGATAACAAACCCATTTGGACGCGGAAGCCGAGCGAGGTGGCGGACGAAGAATACACGCAGTTCTACAAGACTCTCACCAAGGACTCTTCGGCGCCGCTAGCCAAGTAAGCCCGCGGCCCGTGCGTAGCCCGTAGCCGCAGCCGTAGCCGCAGCCGTAGCCAGGGGAGCGCCGCTAAGCGCCGTCCCGTTGCAGGGCGCACTTCGTGGCGGAGGGCGAGGTGACGTTCCGCGCGCTGCTGTTCGTGCCGCGCGTGCAGCCGGCCGACAGCTTCAACCGCTACGGCACCAAGACCGACCACATCAAGCTCTACGTGCGCCGCGTCTTCATCACCGACGAGTTCAACGACCTCATGCCCAACTATCTCGCCTTCATACAGGTACGCTTTTTACGTCGGACCCTCAACTTCACCTCAACCTTTCCGCCTTCTACTAGACGATACTAATTGGAGGCGCTTTGTCCTACCAGGGTATCGTGGATTCTGACGATCTGCCCTTGAACGTCAGTCGTGAGACGCTCCAGCAACACAAACTCATTAAAATCATTAAAAAGAAACTAGTCCGAAAAGCTCTCGATATGTTGAAGAAAATACCTGAAGATGAATACGAACACTTTTGGAAGGAATACTCTACCAAGTAAGAGTTTTGATTTTTGTTTATATTTTGGTGCTCTATGCTTACTTTGAAACGATGACGAATCGATCTCTAACATTGTGCAGCGTCAAGCTGGGTGTGATGGAGGACCCGAGCAACCGGTCGCGGCTGGCCAAGCTGTTGCGGTTCTACTCGTCGCGCTCCGCCGACATGACCTTCCTGGCCGACTACGTGGCGCGCATGAAGCCGAACCAGGAGCGCATCTACTACATCGCCGGCTCCAGCCGCGCCGAGGTACGCCTCCGCCCGCACCCCGCCGCGGCCCCCGCCGGCCGTCGCGCTCGCCCTGACGCGCGCTCTTTCGCCCGCAGGTGGAGAAGTCGCCGTTCGCCGAGCGGCTGGTGCGCGCCGGCTACGAGGTGCTCTTCCTCACCGAGGCCGTGGACGAGTACTGCCTCTCGTCGCTGCCCGAGTACGACGGCAAGAAGTTCCAGAACATCGCGAAGGAGATATTCGACGTCGACGAGAGTGAGTTCGGTCGCGGAGGCTTTCGAAAGCGGCGTTCTCGAACGCTGTGTGACGCGCGCGCTCGTCGGCCGCAGGTCCGCGCCAGAAGGAGCGGCTGGAGCAGGAGAGGCGCGAGATGGAGCCGCTGACGCGCTGGCTGGGCGACAAGCTGGGCGAGTGGGTGACGCGCGCGGCCGTGTCGCGGCGCCTGGCGCGCTCGCCCGCCGCGCTCGTGGCCACGGCCTTCGGCTGGACCGGCAACATGGAGCGCCTGGCGCTGTCCAACGCGCACCAGAAGGTGAGCCCGCGCCCGCCCCGCCCCGCCCCGCCCCGCCCCGCCCCGGCTGACGGCCCGTCTGCCCGCAGGCCGACGACGCGCAGCGCAAGCACCAGCTGTCGCAGAAGAAGGTGCTGGAGGTGAACCCGCGCCACCCGGTGGTGCGCGAGCTGCTGCGCCGCGTGCAGGAGGACCCCGACGACCCCGCAGCGCTGCGCGCCGCGCGCACGCTCTACCGCACGGCCGCGCTGCGCTCCGGCTACATGCTGCAGGAGGGGCAGGCCATGGACTTCGCCGAGACCGTGGAGCACATGCTGCAGGCCTCGCTGGGCCTGCCGCCCGACGCGCGGCCCGACGACGACGACCTCGACCTGGAGGCCGAGGCCGAGGCGGAGGCAGAGGCAGAGGCGGAGGCCGACAACGACGACCGTGACGAACTGTAGTAGCCGGTCTAGCATTTATTTACTTATATTTCCTTAGTCTGCCGAATCATCGGCCATGTATGGAGAGAGATTATGGCTTTATTTTATCTGCTTATAAAAGACAGATTTAGCTTATCTTCTGATAACCCCATTCATCTAAGCGTATTAAACCAGACCAAAACTTTTCATCTTATTACTTTAATGGCTCGATTATGTTTGATGAAATACACCCTCAATTTTGAGTCTGCTATCTGATGCTTATTTATTTAGTAATGGCAATATTTCCGCCTAATTTGATATTTTCTTTTGCATTATTCCATTAAATCTCTCTCAGTTGTTTGTTTTATTAGGTCATTGAACAATCAATTCATTATTTCAAAAAATTCAGATCACCTTTCTGTGTCGGCTGAATAATACTGAAAAACATTTAGCCTTAGGTTACAATAGAAGTGATTAAGACTGTTTTTTTATATTTGTTATAAGTGAGTACTTGCATGATTTGTGATGACTTGGAGTGTAACTATGATGTAAATAAATGATATTTATTACATAGTTAATTTATTTTTGTTTTCTCTAATCTTACTTACTATAAAAGCATATTACCCATATCTTCTTTCAAAGATACATGAGATATTATCTAGAATTTTCTACCGCTACTAATAGTAATAGAGCGAAAGCCCGAGCAGAGGCACCCTCGGGAAAATAATTATAAAAGAAAGCAATCGGTCAATTTGATTATAGCACCTTCTGAACATATAAATTCTGATGTGGAGACTAATTAAGAAATTGCTTAAAGCTTTCAAGACACGATTTTTTCAACCAAATAAACATTATTAGGATACTTATTTTAATTGTTTTCGATTTATATTAATTGGTGTTTTGTAAAAAACACAGTGGATAAACAATGTTCAATTATTTATTAATTACTACATGTCATCAGCTGGCAGAAATACTAAATACAATAAAATCAAATCTTGAAAATCTAATCTATATAACCTAACCTCTAACAAAATTTGTAGTCAACAAGTTTTGGAGTTGTTTCTAAACCAACTATCTGTGATATGAGCATAAAATCATTCTCTTAGTTTGTTACACAATTAAGGTGGATTAGATACAAAATTAAATGCACATAACCATCTTTTAACCTATTTATTAGATAACAGTGGTATTCATTGTTGATTTGCTTCTTTCTATTCTTCTTATTAAGGTGTTATGGTATACAACCATTGCTCGTGGTGAACAATGGCACCGATTCCAAAACTTGTTAAATATTATATTTAGTATTATTATAAACTTTTAGTTGCAATGGAGATTTTTGAAATCTGTTCCTTTTTTTTGTTAAAAATCTTTTTATTTTTTATTTTTAGTGATTTACTTTAAATACTTAGGTGATATGTAATTATAGGTACACCTAGCAAAGTCGTTGCTCGTATGAGAAAACGGCGTTTAACTGAAAAAGGAAAACGATTAAACGCAAATCATCATCATCAAAACCATTTATTCGCATGTTGTAAGCGGTTTTGGCTATGTTTTATGACCGACTGGCCACCTGCATGGAACAATCATCTGTGGTTCACACAAATACTGTTCCGTGTGGGAATCGAACCCACGACCCTAGCAACGGCGCCACCGAGGCATCGATTAAAACGATTGAAAAGAAATAATGAAAGAAAATCTCTGACTAGCGCGAAAATATATTGTTCTAAAATCCTATATGTTACGTAGTATTAAAGACTGTAGGTTGGTCGGCCAAAATAAAATAGTGAGAATAGCGTAAACAACTTTATATATTAATTAGACTACTTCCTACTTATTAGGACAGAGTAACGTCCTATACAAAGGATAAGAGTGTTCCATTCTCAAGTATACAAAGTTACTCTATGGAGTGTTCTACCCTATTACTGTTTTTTTTTTTGGCTGGATGAGCCACTGTTGGCCTTAGGGGCCTTCACAGATCCGACGGACTTGAGGTGGCCTGGCGCACGAGGCGCCTAGCCTGAACTGAAACATTATGCACTTATATACAAAAATATAATGAGTCATCACAACTACATTACAAATCAATGCACTTATTAAATTACTAATACAGTTAATAAGATTGACCTATTAAATTATAAATTATTATTAAGCATGGTTTATTATATAATATTATACCAGATATAGTTCAATGTTTATTAAGTATAATTGTTATTGCTCGTATATTAAGCAGTGTTGGATTGTAACAATAGGTTAAATGAAGAAAACTTCGTTTGGCTATACATTTATTTACACAGATTTTTACCAATTGCATCGGCGAATTGACATCGCAATTGTCAAGTTGCAGGTCGAATTTTTATCCAACTGTCAGACAAATAGACGCTGCTTACAATGGACATATGATATCTGAGAACGCGAAAACAGCGTATTAAATTGTGTAAATACGATGTTATGTTGTGTCATTGCGCAAAACAATGCATATATATGCGATAGGAGCAATCGTGGTTGATTTGCTGTCATTATTTGCACAGTTCCGTTGTCTATCTCTGAAACATATCAGATCCATATGAAATTTAAATGGGAACATTACAGAATAAACCCTTTAAATAACCCCATAAAATTTGCAATCCGTTTATAACATAACAATCTAAAATATTAAAATCCGAATTGATAACCTCCTTCTTTTGAAGTCACTGATTAAACGAATTAAGTAGTCACGATTTGAAATAAATTCTTAAATTTTTGTATTTAATGAAAATAAATGTTTATTCAATAAATAGTCATCGTTATCTGAAAAAAAAATCCTAATATTTTATTTTATCATTATGACATATTTAGTTTCTATCACAATCTCTTCTTTTCTGCATATTACTTTTACAAAATAATGTCGATGTTTCACATCTGCCAGGCGTCCCCTGTTTAATTATTTATATTTCCAAACTATTCAAGATTCGTGAAAAAGAATTGATACGAATAAAAAAGTAATATTTATTAATAATCGACTCATTCAAATACAATTTATTCGGAACAAGAATCATCTGATATGGACATAAGGAGCACCGTCTGTTTAATGTCAAACAGCTTCTATTATAAATATAAATAAAATAAATTCTTTTTAAGGTGTTTTTTTTGTAGATTTATTAATTTGTAATTGTATAAAAATATAAAACATTAATCATTCAGACAATTTGGATTGGATTTGAACGTCGCAGCGTTAAATAAAAAGCCATGCAAATTGACATAAGTATCACGCTAAATAGTTGAAGAATTTAACTAGTTGATCAACTTCTCATGATACTGAAGTTAGCCGACGTCTAATAATATTTAAACTTTTTTTTTGAACTTTTTTGATTTGTTTAAAAAAAGCGATACAAAAATTGTTAATTGCTTGTTAACTTCAGGATCGTATACGCCTCACACTGATGGTTTAATAGTATTAGTAATTAGTATTTTCATGATATTGGCTTAAATGTCTTGTTACTAGGCCATATATTTAACTTTATTAAAAAAAAGTATTATCGTGCACGCATCTATTACCATTCGACACCAAACCAAAGTTGCGTTTAAAAAATATATAGAAATTTGCACGAATTCGATAGTCGAAAATAAATATCGATATATCGGGAATAAAAATATCGACGATATATATCGATATTTTTTGCCCATGCCTACTTGTCCCGAGTGAGAATATATCGAGATATCAGTCATATTTAGCCTTGCCACTGTATTGTACGTTATTTTAGGTAATTGTACTTTATACTTTATGACAATAATAAAGTGCACGAAAATACTTTAATTCGCATGATTAGATTTATCTGCGATTTTGAAAAGTTTAATCGTGATAATTTTTTCGTTAAACAAAATTTATCGATTGGTGCTGAATTGATGTCACCTTTCGCCAACGCAATGTGTTAAGCACTCGTTTTTAAAGTTTTTAACACTTTCTGAACGCAAACTAACATAATATTATCATCATTTGTTTTGTCTGAAGCCGTTTGAGTACAATAAAAATACGATTTAAAGTTTTATAGATTTATGCTATAGTAAATCATGGACAAGAATACTCCACATACACCTACGAAACCTTATATCGATAGTAAAACGGATCAAATAGATATTGAATATGTTACACCGAAAAAATGTTTTCAAAACAGAAGAATCCTCTCTGAATTTGATAAAAAATGAATTATTTATTAAATAATTCATCTTAATTCATTCAAATTAAATATAGACTAAAAAGATGTTGTACAAGTGTTGATTAGCGATACTAGTTTGATACAAATTGAAAAACAATAAAAATATATTGTTAAATATATAATACAGAATAATAAATTGGAGTAGAACATTGATTAACGAACCATTGTTAAAGGACTTTAAGAGGATGAACACTTTATTGCTTATACAATTTCTCTATAGACAAATATGATGCAAATATACACCTCAATTACAAAAATACATCTCACTCACTCTAACGCGTTGTAATTTACAAATGTAAATAAAGTACAGTATATGTCAGGAATTTAAAATTTTTGTTTTAATTTTCGACGACGTTTTCCTTCACCGCGGAGCACGTGATATGTCAGCACTTGTTAAAAACTTAATTGGTGTTGGCACCGGGGATCGAATTCAGGCTGCTCGAGTATATTGAATTAAGGGCGAGAGCCCGGACACTGAGCTATCACGGTTCTAGCTCTAAATATGAAGTATAATTGTGTTTTTGATAATAAGTCTTCTGTAATGTATTAAATTAATTACATTTAATATTTAATTTTATTAGATTTCCGAAAAATAAGCCTCACCGCTAATTATGGATGGAAAACATAGGCACTAAAAATATAAAACCTGCAAGAGTTCTCAGAATATGCACAGAATACAGAATATATCCTCAATATGTCCTCAGAATACAGAATATATAATATAATATAATGAAAATGTTTGTATTTGAGGCAATTTGAATAAATAGAACATTGGGTGTGGTGAGCTTAAAAGACGATGTGGTGCCCACACTCTTTCCTGTAAGTATTTATTCTGACAAGTCTTGT